AAAGGCCCAGACTCCCAGATACCAGACACTCCATGGGACTGGAATAGTTACCTACATTAGGGGCACACACGGGTTCCAGGCAAGTAACTATTCCATACATGGATGGTTTGGGTCTGGGTGTAGTGACTGTGGTTTGCTCGGGCGTGTGACCTTTTTTAAACACACAACGCCCAGACACTGCATATATGCCATATATGCCTACATTGACCCCTCAAACCACCCCTATGGCATACATGGAGTGTTTGGGACGGTTGTAATCCACCTACTTTTCGCGTGTCTTTACGACCCCAGGGCCTCGTGGGTTCTGATGGATTCGGGGCGCCGCTGCGCTGGGTTGGAAGCTCAAGGACAAATATTCTCACATGTCCATATTCAAAGCCTGATGATGCATGGTTGGTCAGGGGTAACAATACATCAAGCACCCAACTTATATGGCATCAAGATCCATCTATAGATCTAGTTGAAAGGGTCGCAGCGAAACATGCAGCAAACAACAGCCAGCCGCGGCCAGGTTGGTTTGGCATATGAATTGTCCCACATAGTCGACCTCGAGGAGGTATAGACACTCATGAGACCAACATATGACGTCATATGTTTTTGGTGGTTTGAGTTTGATGGGTTTAGTTTAAGTTTAGGCCAGGCATGTGCGCATTTGGGGCGACTGCAGCTGACTTCAGTCAGTCCTTAGACTTAGCTCGAATCCCAAGCGAGAATATTCTACTCAGGATTTTAGACTACAAATCCAAGTCAACCATTTTATGCTACGTTTTTTGACAGCTAAGGCTAAGGATCCTCATGCCATGCCACGGTTGTGTCTTTTCTTTCCGGGGCATTGGTAATTTCTCGTGCCCCACAAGCAGAGCCACTCAGCACTGAGCAGATCCAGCACTGAACAGGTCAAACCGCAAAAGACATTGAACAATCTTCGCTATTTCATGGTGACAATGTTAGATCCACCACTCCAGGCCAGGCCGTAGCGGTTCCAACTGGTGGGAACCGCCCCCGGTGGCGGGTGCGAATCAATCGAATCGGTGTGCAGAACCGGGACCCCCCGTCAGGAGTGGTTCATGGACACCCCGAGCTTCTCGCCCGAACTAGAGGGGCTATTCACTGGGACATCGCCCGGAATCTGTGGTGTTGGCATGTTCAACTTCATGTTCCCTAGGGCTCCAACCATCTCCTGAGAAGGTGGTTGGGGTGTGTTTTGGGGGTCTAACCACCGAACCTGAGGAGATGGTTGGAGCCCTAGGGGTTTCACACGTTTAACTTCTTTGCTAATCCCATCTAATCCCAATGAACCAAAACTCTTGCTGCTTCAAAACTACCAGCTGTATTGTTTCGGTGCCCCCTGTTCGTCCCGGCTGTTTGGGCCGGGACCTCGGTGCCGTCTCGGTGTTGGGACCTCGGTGCGGAAAGGGCTTCATGAGAACTGGGGCGGTGAGAATGATCTATAAAACGTTTGCTTTTATGTTCAACCTTTACTTGACTACTTGAGATGATGACTTGGCCACTTGTGGTGTTCTTGACTACTTGACCACTTGAGATGAAGGATCCCACCTTTTTCTCCTATTGTTATTATTGTTCATCAGTGCGTTGAGCCTGAGTCGGCTGAGTGGAACCGAACCGATGCATGTGACGACGTCATATGGTGCAACATCTGCCACCCCCAAGGCGAAACAGCTCCTACCAGGACCCTCTTTTAGGGGTGCCCTGGACTAGGAAGCCTATAGGCAAAAGGTAGTGTGGGGTAGTCCAGCCAGGACACCCCGACAGGAGGGTCCAGGTAGTAGCTCCTTGCTCTAGTTTCTACTAAGGCCAGAACCCCCGTTCGTAGCTTCTTTTTACTCGTAGGTAAGGCCAGGAGCCCCGTTCGTAGCGTCCGATCGCTCCGTTCGTAGCGATGCCCGAAATGCTCCTAGTAGCATGGTTGCTCCTGGTTCCTTTAGCCTGTCAAGGCCGTAAAGGAGGGGTAACTCCCATGACCATCCCCAATAGGTTCCTGTAACATCCTGTAACTATTACCATCTATATGATCATGTTTGTTTTGCTTCTAAAGTTGATTGTTCATGTTCCCTTAAGGGTCAATCATGGTCAATCCCCTTCCATGACTGTCAGGCCATGCCGGGATGATCGCCAGCGAGTCAATATGGGCACCTTGGCCACCAGACGTGCATGCACGACCACGCCCTGACGTCGATCGATCAAACGAGCCCTGACGATCGGAAGGTCTATCCGGAGGTTGTTTGGGACATGACTTTGGAGCCTTGGGTAGGCAGAAAGCCAGGCTGATGTAAGACCTCCAAAGGCCCAGATGTAATACATGAGGTCACGGCGCTTCAGGGCCTATGAATGATGGTCTCATGCACATGCACATTCTAAGGGAGCCATCTTCATGATGGCATGTTCGCAAGAATACGGATCACTTGGAGAACTGGATCATACTTGACCATCCCGGATAGTTTCGCCCAAACATCCCCAATTCCATCATACCTGCATTCAGAACATCATGTGCATTGAAGTTAGAAGAGTGCTTTTCAATCTGTTCAACATTCTTTCGGTACTGCTGATTGTTTGGTGAAATTGGTGAACAGGACCATCCCACGCCATGCATTTGAGGCACAGCCCGTCTTAATCGTTGTAGAACAAGAAGCCGGTCATTGGTGTTGAGAAGCACTCTGCTCTCTGCATTAGTTCCAGCCACCCAGCTCCTGTAGTTTAGATCCTTGTAGCCCTTCGGTTCCAACCACCACCTGAGAAGGTGGTTGGGGTGGGTGCCAGGGGGGTCTAACCACCTTCTGAAGAGATGGGCCAGGAGCCCATTGTATTGAGTCAGCCCTTCAACAGATGAGTGCATATTAAGCATGTATATGAGGCGGGAACCGGGCCCCGGGGGTCAAACAGAAACCCAGATCGGACTCAATGCCACCAACTTCAGTGAGGGTTCCGGGGTTCAACTGCTTCAATGGGGTGAAGGACGGCCATGGTTTTCGTGGGAGTTTAGGACAAAGGGGTGGTCAAAACACATACACGTAGCAGCGACCCTGGACCGCGTACGAAGGACTACAACCCATGACACTCCATGTATGGCATCTTTACATAGTTTTGGGATCATTGGGTTGGTTTCAGGGGTTCTATATAGTCTGAGCATGGAGACCATGTGGCTCCGCAACAGGGGGTGAATCCTAGTGCTGTTCATGTTGGTGGTTAAGAGATAAGTTAGCATTTGCCCAGGTGGTGCACTGGTCCGAAGCCTCCACTGGTAGTGCACCTGACCTCGGGCCAGGTTTGACTGGAGCCTCCAATGAGAATCAATCATAACCCTATAGGCTCCAGGTGCCTCCTCAGAAGGTATTTGGACCCTCCTGGCACCCACCCCAGTCCCACCGAACCTCAGAAGGTAACTGGAGCCCAAACGGGTCAAAAGAGTGCCCCATCACCTCAGAGCAGCGGATCCGCCGATCCATCCGCTTCGCAAAGACGACTGGACCGAGCCGCAGAAGACCGTGGAGACCACGCCCAGGTGGGCATGCGCTTGAGGCCGCTCGGGGAGCGAGAACGAGGCCCGGAAGTGCGGAGGGTGTCCGAACGGGAGAGGACGGACGGACAGCGGGCAACTGCCAGACATGACATTCCGCCACCTGGAGGTGGTTCCAAATCAGATCGTTCCAGCCTGGAAGCCAGAAACCAATTGATACCCTATGAAGTGGACTGATGTGGACTGCCAGGAGCAAGTGGGACTGCTCGTTCGCCCAGGAAACCCATGAAACTGGAACCCCTAAATTGGTTGATGGATCGACCGGATCGCAGCCTCGAGTAGACCACCATCTCGCTCAACTCTTGGCTTCGAAGGCCAGCGGCATTGCTTGAGAATCGAGGCCGCGGGGGTGTGGTGAGGCATGGTTGCCAAAGTGCACTGGACTCACTAACATGGAAATTGACTATTCATGAACATTCAACTGTTTCTGGAGGAACGTGCACACTTCCTGTTACTGTAGTGAGTCAGAGTGTAAGTGTTATTCCAACCACATCCACAGCGGGCATCAGCGGGCCAGGTCTCCAACAGGCTTAGGAATCAACAAAACAACCTTCTTTCTTTCCTCTTTGCAATGATCTGACACCGAGGCACAACTTTTGTTGGTCCCCAATGCAGGAACAATTTACAGCGAGAAAACACGAATGCACGGAAGGCACGAAGGCAAGAAACTAAGGGCGTGGCCGAACGAAAGCAAAGCTGGTTCACATCTCAAGTCCCAGCATTTGTTTGGGTGATGTTTTCTCTACCAGGGCCCCCTAAGGGGTGTCCAATGGACTACCCCACACTACCTATAGCATTGGGCACCCCGACTGGAGGGTCATGGTCGATTTTTGTTTTCCCTTTCACCGGGTGAATTCCGCTTCATACAGGTCCGTGTTTTACATCGTATTCGCCGACTCGTCTCCCTTCCCGCCGTCAAATGCAACTGGATCTTCCAACGAAGCGTGAAGCTCACCGCAAGATGAACTAATAGTGAAGGCCTTGCCATATGGAACTTGGGCGTAAGCAGGAGCCAAAGTTATACGACATAATAGGGGTTTAATCATACGTAACTTCATACGTATTTGGCCCAGCTTACCTGGTCCCCCCTCCACCCTGGTGTTCCATGTTCGGGGACCGTGCGAAAAAGACCGCGGCGTAGATGTTCCGCAGGACAAGCAGGTCTACGTGTCCACCGAGGCCTTGGATGCCAAGCAGCAGCTGGACGTACAGAAGAAGGCCTTTGCCTTCGATGTGAGGGCCACCCAGCTGAGGCAAAATCAGCGCAGGCAGGCGAAATCAGCATGGCGAAGATTTCGAGATAGACTGATCACCCTCTTCTTCAGGCCACCCTTGGGTATTTGGAGCCATACCAAGTAGCGGAGCCAACCAAGCCGGACGGACCTATGACTCCTGGTAGTACCGATCCGCCCGTCGCCCGTCACCCTCCTGGGACGTCGCTCTCTCCTCGCCGTCCCAGGTGGCCATGGACAGTACCGATCCAAACAGCCCGGAGTACGTCTCGCAGGACCGACCGCCGAGACGTCTCGGCCGGTGCGACCGGCGGAAAAGCCACGGGTCAGGGATGCGGGTCCGGCCCTCGCGGTGCCGGGTGCGAGGTCCCACTTACGGCTTTCAGCCTTCGGTGCTGGAAAGGGTAGGGACCAGGTGAGGTCATGGTGTGGAGAATGGAATTTCAATACTTGGAGCCCCAAGATAAGCACTGGACTTGACTGGGGATAAGGTTCCTTTGTCATGTTGAGTTTGTCCGCGCTTGATTTAAAGTCAAGTTATTGTTTGATGATGGTTGCGCTATTTGTATCTATTTGTAAAGTACACTTTGGGGTACTAACGAGGCAACTAGAAAATGAGGTAGAATAACCAGCTGATTGCCACGTCAGCCGGCAAATATAGTCTGCACTGAATGCCACGTTAGATGTTTTTGATGAGTCTACCATTGCTACGTTAGGCTTCTGGGCAAAATTGTGAGGATCCTGCGGCTGAATGGAGTTGCCAAGTAAGCAGAAAGTCATGCTAAAACCTAGCATTGTTCAGCTGTTTTGCAAATGTCAGTAATCAGTAATGCCCCAAGCCATGATGAATGGAAGATGACTCCAGGTATATCTTGAGTTACCCCTACTTTTTTTCCTGGTGTCCCTAATGGATTTTCAGAAGCAGGTTTGTTTGTGTGCGCGGCTTGTTCCTATACCCAGAAGTGGACAACGGCCTCCTGGAATCCCCCCTTGGGCCCCAAGTGGTAGTGTTTTTCAGCAGGTAACTATTCTAGACCAAACCCACCTTAACCACTTCGAGCTCTAGGGCCAGGGTATATGATGTACTTATAGTTATGTGCTTGAAAGTACTTTGTATAAACATACCCAGTCAGTGGATAACCGTTAACCTCTTTTTGGGAGTGGTTTCCCCATGTTTCCCAAGAACAGGTAGAAAAAGCTAGGTTATATACTGTAACCTTCATTTTCCAGGCAAACTGAAGGCGCCAGTACATATGATGTTTCTGGTCATTAACCACTAGTCTCCAGGCTCCCCTCGCCAGGAGAGATGCTACGAGCTCATGGGCGAGCGTATGGTGCAACACATGCTCCAGGCGAGGCTAGGCCTTCGCGTGTCTCCGGTGACCATCAAGTGTCCCCCAGTCCTTAACTGTCCCCTGCAGAAGGTTCTCCAAAAGAGAAGACACCATCAAATCCCAATACTTTTGTTGGTTTGCGTTCCTATATACCAGTTTAAGCAAGACGAGGAATTCTCAGCACATCTGACGGACGGAGTGCCCCAGCATTTGCGATCCCGGCCGCCACCAAAGACGCTGGCAGAATCGGTCGGGCACCCGCCCGGGAAGAATGGCCTTGTTCAGAAAGACCGGGAAAAAGCTCCGTTCGTAGCGTCCTTGTTCCTTTCGTAGTAAGGCCAGGAGCCCCGTTTGTAGCGCCCGATCGCTCCGTTCGTAGCCCCGAAATGCTCCGTTCGTAGCGTTTGCATTCAGGGCTTCAACACCTGCTTGTTCTGCTATGGGCAGACGGGCACGGGGAAGACGACCACGATCATGGGCAATGCCGGGGGAACCCAGAACCGCTCGTGCCCAGCGAGTCGACGAGACGGGGCATGTCTGTGGGACTACTCGATGGTTTGCTTAGATGTTGTATTTGTCTGGGTGAATTTCATATATTTTATGTCAAGTCTCGAACCGGAAATGGTGAAATGGTTTTTAAAGCCTAAGTCCCCCTGTGTTCCACAAAAAATGCAGGGTAGGGGCACCCCATGAAAAAAGCCAATGTTTTGGATGTTTTGGTTTCTTCAGCCACTACAGCTTTCGGACGTGGATTCTGTAGCTGGATTTGGGTTTGCCTTCGACATCCCAGACTGGACGAAAGATGGAAGAGTCCCCTTCAACTAGCTTGGTTGCTTTTTCTGCAGCCATGGGTAGCTTGGAAGCTCTTGTTTTTGGATATTTGGCTGAGCATTCCAGGTCCAGCAGGCATTTTCAGCCATTATCAGAGAAGAACAAAAAAGAATCCCTAGGGCTCCGACCACCTCCTGAGAGGGTCTAACCACCTTCTGAGGAGCCCTAGGGAATATCCCATGTTCTTTTCGGTAGTGAGGTTTTATGTTTGTGGTCACGAACCCTGCGCAACCACAGCGGACCACCATTTCATGTAGAACACAAGTCGTGCAGAGTCGTGGTTTTGATTGGTTTAGATACATCCGTTTGGCCCCAAAAGGGCCGGCGACGGGTCTTAAAGGCCACCTCAGGAGGGTCAAGGTTTGGGGTATACTTCAGTGTTTGAGAGTCCTCCCACCCCAGTGCTTGATGTCCGTGCTTTTCAGCCTCGCCACTTCCGCAGCCCCTTTCCCAGCCGCATTGGTCCCTTGCACTCCGACCGTTGCCTCTCTTGTTGGCCATGACTGAGATTCGCGGAACAGGCTGGCCACGCGATTTGGTGATGCGCCGCTTCTTTTTGGGGTCGGTTTATCGCCGTCCATGTTTTTGGCCTGGACGGTGAGGGAAGTGGCTATGAAGCTGATGGAACTTGATGTTTGTACAAGTTTCCGTGGCGCAACCGGGACCATCCTGTCTGGACATCTCTAAGCAGTCTAGGGTAGTCCATGGATGGACCTGGAATGATCTATGAAAGGGCGGACGTAGACGGGGAATTGTGCGCCATTTCCTGCATTGGGAATGGCAAACCTACACACAATTTCTGTATATAGACGCCTTTGATTAAAGAATATTCAAGATTGATAGGTAAGAATTGAATAACATGTGTGAGGTAACTGCTCCCAACTCTGATCTCTTTTCATGCATGTTCATTAAAGTTCCTTGAGCACACAACTCACATAACTACTGCAAGCGAAAACACAAAAACAACCCACCAACTCCAACCAACCGGAGCATCCACTGCAACCCATCTCACAGCCCCCAACCCGCCAGACCCTCCGCGTATCGTTTTCAAGACCCTCCGCAGGGACCGGCAGGGACCGCTTCGGGTGGAGGGAAGACCGGTGGAAAGCCGAAGAAGGCGTCCAGTACGGCGGACAGGAGCACCTGCAGCCAAGCACCACCTGGTGAGACAGGAGCCCTTGGAGAGGCACAGCACGACATGCGGTGGAAGTTCCAGCATCGTCTGGCCTTGGGACCTTCGTCCCCTTTTTGCTGCGTGGGTATGCAGCTGCCGGGGGGTTCAGAAGGTGCGAAGGTGTTGAACTCCCAGCCGCAGCTGGCGCACCGGAGGACGCGGAAGTTGAGCTCCGACGTGAAGTGGCTGACCCTGACGTGTCACCTTCTGAAGCAGCTCTGAGTTGAAAGGAGTCGACCCCACGAAGCTCTCGTCGGGTTGTTCAAGAAAGAGCGCCTGGCAGCCTCCAGAGGGCCTGATATGGCCTGATGTGCACTCATGTCAAAAACCAGGTGTTCAAACAACTGCGAGCCGTCCTGTCAGGCACTTGGATGAAGCCTTGGCTCGCTTCAACGAACCACGAACCACCGTCCCGTCAGGTCCGCCTCATCCGATCTGGACCGCTCAGACGAAACGGAGAAGACCGCTGCGAGATGGCCGTGGGTCAAAACCTGGAGCCCCAAATGCTGGTGGGTTGACCTCCCGTGCTGGTGAGGAATCTGTTGACTTTCATGTTCAGCGGTTAAGAGTTACGGGGTGTTGACCCGCAGCCTGCTGCGGACGCTGCCAGGCGGAATGATCTCTCAGGCCGAGGAGGGCATGAAGCTCTTCGAAGCTCAGCAGGGCAGCGCTGCGGAGGTCGACACCGCCGGCGCTGAGACGCTCGACCAGTATCATTGCGTGAATGTCATGGCTGCCGAGTTGCTCTAAGGAGTTAAACATTCTTAAACTACCTGGCCATACAGGAGTTGACTACAATGCCTAAGGAGTTAACATTGTTAAACAGTGTTAAACTACTTGAATATATACTGCATATTGTTAAACAATGTTAAACATTGTTTGCCTGATATGATGACTTGATCAGTATCAGGTAAGTCCCTTGTTGGGCCATACTTTCTAATCCACGGCAATCACCGTATTCAATTTGTATCTACACGCCAGAAAGACGCTCACCAGGTGGCAGGTACCGAGTTGCTTTAATGAGTTATACTCAAGGAGGTGGACTAGAACTCCGGTGCTGCTGGTGGGTGTTAGTTGCGACTCCTGCCCGACTCATCCTGGAAACCACTTGTGCGGAGGTGCCTGGCAGCGTGGAGGCTCTCTTCTTTCACATCCAGCATGGGTAGGAGATGAAGAAAGGAAGCTGATCGTGGGAACCCTTGCAAGGTGCCATCCGGGTCTCAAGAAGGGCAATTTGCGTTGATTTGTGTCGCACTGAGGAAGTATAAGACAGAGGTGGAAGCTCGCCACTCGGCTCGCTGGAAAAGGGCAAGGCAAGGCCAGGCAGCGCATGATTGAGATCCCATCAACTACCTGGCTGGGCTGTTGCAGGAGACCCAAATGGGTTTGGGACCTTTTGGTGGATTGTAGGCATAGCTTGTCACACCAAAATCGCATGTATTCAGTGCGGATGGAGCTTTGGATCCTCAACTAAAATCTACAAGTTCACAAAGATGGGACATACACCCTGGAAAACTAACATGGAACCTGAAAACCGCTGGGTTGTAAAGGAAAATTGTCTTCTAGAGTTCCATTTCCAGGTTCCATGTTAATCTTTCCGGGTGTAAATGGTTTGGACCAGTGGACCAGTGCCTCCAAAAGTCTCAGGTCCACAATGGTTCCAATGTCAACGCAGCCAGGGCAGAAGCTCATGTCTCAACTTTCCCAATTAGCTGAGCGTTGCACATACAGGGTGTTCCTTTGATCCATATACTGTATAGCTGAGCTTGGCTGAGAAGGTCTTGGATTGATGTGGGTACCGTGGCTACCTGAAAACGTCCATTGCGTCTATTGCATCTGAGTGGTTGTTTGGACCACCGGTCTGAACCCCAAGGCATTCAAGCCTTGGAAGCGGAAGCGAACCTGCTCACGGGCAAGGAGAGAGTGGGAGAAGGCGGTTTTGGGTCAGGAAGTGTGGCCCCGTGAGGGGTCTAGTGGCAAAGCGTCTAAACCCTAAACCCTAAACGGCTTGGATGGATCTGCCTACGATGAACTGGTGGCTAGGGCAGTGCTCTCGTATTGTGGGTTCGGACTCAGCTCTACACGTTCGAGCCACCATTCCGAATAAACTAAAAAATCCATCCGTCCATTAACCTATAGGCCTCCAAATACCTCCTCAGAAGGTATTTGGAATCTCCAAACTCAGCCCAAACACCGAACCTCAGAAGGTACGACTGGCGTTTTGGGTTTGGGTCAGGGTGTAGCTCTTCCACACTCACGCCCAGCTGGGCCCAGCTCGGCCGGTGACTCGAGGACAACAAGAAGGAGCGCGCTGCCAAGGGGAAAGAGGTGGCGGAGCTCAAGGCTGAGCAGACGCTTGGACTCCGGTTCGGCTAGAATTTTCTCGTAGGACTTGGCGTCCGGTTCAGCTAGAATTTGCTCGTAGGACTTGGTGCCATGGCACCACTTGCTGCGACATGCTGCGACATGGCCATGACGAACGCTCGCGCCGGACCATGTCCGGATGACCAAGGTGTTACGTGGACGCCTGCAAGATCGTGAAAGGCCATGATGGGAAGACATGGACATGGACCTATTTAGACGGTTGTGTGTGTGTGTTTCACTCATGGACTTCGGATCCAATGATTTGCCAATGGCTCATCCTGAATCCTTGGAGCCCTGATCAAAAAGTGCTTTGATAGAGTATTTAGACATGAAAATATTAGATACCAAATAATACCAATACCATACAGGTATTGGGTGTCTATAGTCTATACCTGTATTATGGAAGGTCTATCATTGGGTGTCTTTTATACCCGTATCCAACACCTGGATAGGCTAGGCCTTCTATGGAAGGTCTCCAGCCTTCACACGCGGGCCAAAACGAAGAGACAGCATCCCAAACAAACACCTCATGTCATTATAAGAGCCTTTGCATCCTTTGCTTTTGTGGGGTTGTTGGACCCAAACAACTCGCAAGTGATGACCTGTGGGAAGGTGCTGGTGTAGGTTTCAGGGGTGTCCCTGCAGCCGCCCATGGCCGCCTGCAAGGCCTGGAGCCGAAGTTTGGTTACTTCGTGACCAAGCCAGCAGAGGCGCCCAAGCAGGCGGAGAAGGAAGAGGTGGTGGAAGAGGTGAAGGTGGACAAGGCCAAGAAGGACCTTGCAGAAGGGGAGCCATCGGGTCGGCGATATATGGTTTGGTTGCTTGAAATGGGGTATGCAAGATGGTGATCTGAAATTACAACTATGGCTATGCGCCTGTTAGGGGCTCAAAATTAGTAGATCCTAGATAAAATTGAATGTGTCATTCATTCACTTTTAAGCCTTTGCGACACTTTAGATACAATCATAAAGAATCATTCAAACGTTTATATAACCTTCTATATAGTGCGCAGACGTCCTGCGCAGACGTCCTTTGACAAGTAAGCGGGCCTTCACTGGGTTGCAGTGTACGAACGTGCATGTTCCTTGGGGACAGGCCCATGTGAAGGCCCCTTCAGGCATGCGGCTCTAAGCTGCTTGAAGCACCGGCTTTTTTTTGTGTGGGTCCGGCTTGGGAGCGGCACCAGATGATAGAGGGCTGCAGGTAGGGCTGCGGTGCATATTTAAGATCAAATGGTGGTTGAGAATGAGTAGTTCATTAAGATCAAATGGACCAAATGGTGGGTCCAGTCCAGGGGGGTTTGGCCCCCCATCACGGGGGTTTGGCCCAAAGAGCCAGCTGTGGGAGGGGAGCTGTTTTCTCCCAAAGGGCTCGGCTCGGGCGAGAGATGGTTCGCTGGGTTCGTTCCTGAGAGTGTGGAGGTGACCAAAGAAGCAGAAGCCAACGGAATCCCCCGAGCTGTTGGTTTGCTTTGGGCATCTTTGGGCCGTGAACATGGGTGTTCCATGGTCGGCCAGGACAGCAAGAAGGAACCGAAGAAGGAGAGTGCGGGTTTGAGCCCTGCAGAGACCAAGGCGGGGTATTCTGCGATGGGCGAATTGAACCATCGTGGTCATGAGGGATGGTGCGGAATTGGTTTCCAATTGTGTTGTAAGCTTCCCAATTGTTCGGCCGGCCTCATGAAATATGTATCAAAGGAGGAATACTTCATTCAATGCTGCGTCCTGTACATGTATAATATAGATACTATTCATATAATAGATGTATGTTGATCACATGAAGGAACTGGCCGCCACACCATCCAATGCCTGATCGCAGAAGCGACCCCAAGGGCAGGCGAAGAGATTTCTAAGGCGTCAGACTTCAGACTTCAGACCGTGGACGTGGAGCCAATTGTTGTTCAGATTGAACCGACGGTCCACGGTCCACGTCCTGCTGGACCGGGCGATGCTGTGGAAGACCACGAGTCACGTCGCAGTTGGACGTGCGCGGTTCACCGACACAGGGCCCATGGTTGAGAATGCGGAAGGTCGGCTGTTTACTTCCTAGGCCTCCAAGTACTTTCTGAGGAGGGGTTTGGTTTGAAGGGCCCAGTCATACCTTCTCAGAACTTGGAGGCCTAGGGTGTAAACATTCCCCCGTTACCAACCAAATCCTGCGGTCGTCCACGTCCGATGGCTGGGCTGTTGAAGAGGGCCGGAGCTCCCTCTCCAAACAGCTTCTCAGGAGGTCCAAAGAGAGCTCTTTGAGGGGTTGAATTAGTTGGAGACCTGCCGTGCCATGGACGGTTCTCATGGATCTACCCCTTGAGCTTCTCCAAGCACCTCAGGGAGACGCAAAGACGGCCCGGAGACCAACGGCGATCAAGTCCGAGAGCGGTCAACACTGCCGGGAGTTGATGGGTCCTACCCTTCACAAGGAGCACATGGACCCTGAACACCACCGGGTAGTAAATCAGCATCATCTACCAGGACCCTCCAAGGGGTGCCCTGTCTGGAAGCCTATAGGTAGTGTGGGGTAGTCCAGCCAGGACACCCCGACAGGAGGGTCCAGGTATATTCACGGCCCAGTTGGCAGTTTACAGGAGTGTTTGATGTGGGCGCCAGGCCATCGCTGGTATAGGTTGGAGCGATGTCCGATCTCTCAGCAGAGTTGGCGGTCGAGCTCAGGAACGGCAGGTAGTTGTGAGTCACTTACTCCCCTGCAGATTAACATGGAACTTCACAACCACTGGGTTGTAGAGGAAAAGTGTTTTCCACCAAACAATTCTGGTTCCATGTTAGTTTGCGGGAGAGTATGGGACTCCCCCAGGTGACCCATGGTGGCCAGTCAGTGGATTTTGATGGGACCTTTTTGAGCCAGTTGGGGAATTCCGCCATCAATTCTGAACGATCCAACAGGTGGTAACCTTTCCCTGCAAATTGGATCCTTTACCTCAGTGCCTCAGTTGTTGTTTGACACAAGTCCGGTAAAATGAGGTGATCTGGCCCTTTACTGTGCCTCTAGGCACTGAGGCTTTCCCTCACCGCGAGGCCGAAACGGTGCGATCGACAAACGAACCGCGTGATCGGTGCGACCGCCGGTGATCTGCAGGAGCTGGAGGATTTGAAGCAACAAATCGTTGAGAGGAAGGCCATCTTGAAGGACCCTGCAGCAACTCTGGATCATTCTCACGGTACCCTTTTGAAAATGGTAGATGGCTTTCTTGAGAGCCCTGACAAACAATGTGGTTCCTCCGCGCCAGTGTGCTGGTGCTTTGGAGTGTGAGCATGTCAGATGTCTTTCCCAGGGCATCCAGTTACCTATAGCTGGTAACCAGTGGTTCCAGTTCGACTAACACCATGGACCTAGAATCCCTGGTTCCTTATATAGTGGTACCATGTGGTACTGTAACTGGAATGCACTGGGTTTTGTTCATGCCGTTTTGGGGAATGCTCCCAGTTGACTCGTCACTGGGTCACACACGTCCCACTTTTCAGTGAGGGGAGCTCCCTGGAGAGAGAGATCGTTTGTGGTTTCAGAGGGCGACGACCAACTCTTTTGCAAAGGACTGCTGACATATTGTGGCCGAATATGAGCTGAAACGTCCCTAAATGTAGGCCATAGTTGCATGGCAGAGAGGGTTTTCATGGATGCCTGCTGTCCGAGGCGGTAGTGACAATTTGATGTTAAGGGAACTTGATCTTAGGCAGGTGTCACACTAGATTTTGCTCCTGGAGTTCTTTTTTGGGTCTTAACTCCAACTATTTCTGGTGACCATCCCCCATGTCCTGATGATGTGGCTTTTTGTGCATCATGTGCAGGAGCAGGGCATGAGCGGTGGTCAGCAGAACAAGGATGAGGAGGTTGTGAAGATGGTCGCACGCATGAACGAGCTCAAAGAGAAGCAGGCGTGTCACAGCTGTGACAGCAAGGGTCTGAGGATGGAACTGCTTAGTGGTTTGCAGTCAACATGTAATTCCCTAGAGCTCCAATCATATCCACAGAAGGTGGTTAGACCCCCTCGCACCCACCCCAACCATCTCAGGAGGTAGGCCAGGAGCCCATTAGGGATTGTTCAGTATGCACCGGTCGGTATGCTCCGGTGGGTGAGGAGGGAACTGAGTGGCTCTCTGGGAGTGGCTTGACATGGGGAAAACGCGTCGAACATGTGGATCTCGGACGAAGAAAACATGACGAAACCCTTACATGCCACCAGATGGCTTGGTGTTGAAAAAGGGGAGCTCCGGCGAACTCAGTTTGGGCATTTGTGACCTAGACTTGGTCTTGCTTTGGATGGATGCGTTAGTCGACATTTACTTAATCCATCACTTCAAGCCGAAAGGAACGTGTCTTTTGGACCTGCTTGGACCTCATTGCAGGTTCGGGATGAAGTTGGTCAGTTCGGAGAGCGTAGATGGACCCATCGCATCCCACCGGCTTTGCCCGGGTGAAGAGATTCGCGTGCAGGACCCAGGAAGCACCAAGAAGGAGAAGGACCGAACCGCACCGTGTCGACGCGAAACCGCGCGGCGAACCGCGAAACCGGACCTGGACGGCGAGATGCTCTGGCGTCGGACCCTATATATAGGGCTCCAAGTACACCGAACGTGAGGAGAAGGTGGGTGGGGTGGGTGCCAGGTGGTTCTAACATGTTCTAACCATTTTCTGAGGAGATGGTAGAAGCCCTAGGGAAGAATGAGGGGAGCTGTTTTGCATTGTTTCGCAAGACTTTCCTCGTCGCCTTGTCCTAAAAGGGGAGACACGTTGAAGACACCATCACCAACAGGTTTGAGAATACGCAGACGTAAGGACAAAGAGTGGTCAAATGACTTTGTCATTTTGTCTTCATCATGTCTTGAGAGTGTGAGCCGCTGGGGTACGCAGTGAAACACAGTGTCTCATGTCCATGCACATGCTCCTTTAGGTTGGTCGGAATCTTTATCAGGTTGTTTCTGGATGGGGAGGATGTTGAGTGGACGGACCTGTACACCGAATGAAGACCCGCAGCTCAGCGGTTGACATAGTCAAACGATTTGAAGGGGATACAAAAGGTTTCCCTGAGGACTTGACACATGAAAGAACTTAGACATGACATATGAAAGAGAGAGAGAGAGAGAAAGAGAGGGTAGTAGAAAGGGTCCAGACCAAAACAGCTGCCATTCTCGCTCCCAATTGCTTTCTTCATATAAATGGGGTTTGGTGGTTGGAAGCGTGACCGGGGAGAAGGTGACGACGTGTTCATTGTCGATTCGTCTCTTGAGAAGCCGGTTGCTGAACTCCAAGAACATCAATTGTCCGATCGGTTGAGGTGAGGATACAGCACCAGCGGGTTCCTTCGGCCCGCCCACCACCCGCCTGGCCCACACCACGCATTTGACTGACTTCAGGATGCGAAGAAGGATTCGAAGAAGAAGACTCCATTGAGCGCAGAGGAACAGAAGGAATTCGCACAGCTCCAGTGCTTTGGCATTCAACTCTTACGTATACTATACTGCTTATATACTTGTATACTGCTTGTATAATTATTACGTGTATACTTATACTGGTATCTTTGTGATTACTTGTATAATCTTGTATATCAAGTGTTTTGCTTTGTGAACTGGTTGGTCTTCACGGATTGGTCATGTTTCAGTTTGCTTCACAAGAACATTAAGCAGCTGTTGAGAAGCAATTGCATGCCTTTTGAGAGCCATGCCATTCAAAGGCATCATGCATTGCAGGTCCACTCAGATACAGCAAAAGATGTTTCCTCCCAGCAGGCTTAGATCTTAAACACGTATTGCGTTTAATTCCCTCCTTCCGTCTCCATCTCTTACATTTGGCCGTGTCAGAGTGTCATGGCGCATGCAACAAGATCCACTATCAGTTGACCCTCCTAACTCAGCAGGGGTCAGGGGACCGGTTCCACAGATTCTTCAGATGTGTTCTCTTTCGGAGGTTCGACGGGACGTCACACCCCCGCAAGATGCTTGGACAGATGGGGACCACGCCATCCAACCTCTCCATCCACTATATGGGTCTGTGATCCACATACCTAACCTGATGTAGGCGTCTGAGGTACGGTGATTGGAGACTCTTTATGTAGGGGCCAGGAGGGTCCAGTCTTACCTAACCTGAGGTACGGTGGCAGTGGATCCATAGGGTATATGGGTCTGTAGTTGAAGGGCACAGCCCACCGGTCGACGGGTCAGTGTCGGTCTCCCTAATTCAAAGGCACACCCATATTCCCGAATAGGCTCCTGACCCACCTCCGTAAGGTGACTGGTGGTTGGGATGGGTGCCATGGGGGTCTAACCACCGAATGTGAGGAGATATCCCGAATGGGCTCCTAGAAGCTGGTTAGACCCCCCCAAGCACCCAGCCCAACCACCTTCTCCTTCTCGGTGGGCCAGGAGCCCATTCGGGATTGGCCTGTCCAGAACAATCCCCTAAGGGTCGGTCGGTGAATGGTCTACCCCCGTCATCTGACGAACCTCTAGAGAACGTATTGGAATTGACCCTAATTCAAAGCGACGCCGTAGATGTAATAGTAAGTGATTGTAAGTGAACTTGGTAGAATGATCAGCACTTGTGTGCTTCTGTGAGGAAGAAATCTGGGTGTTGAATGGTTTGATCTCAGCCAGATACAATTACAAGCCCTCCAGAGTCTCCGTCCACGCTGGTCCCCCCGCTCAATAATCCTGGCTGAAATCCTCAACAGGATGTTTAGCAGACCACCCACAAGTGCAAACCACTGGGGATTCGAGCCGTTGGAGTGTGATTCGAGCCGTCTTCGTTTGATCAGGAACGAGATCGAGATTTACAAGGCCAAGCTTCGAAGCGAGTTCGGCTACAGCCCCTTGGCGGCACGTGAGGCAGGACGAGCCGCCATCGGAGCGGAGGAGCAGAGGAGCTCCGCGGCGGCGGCGGCGGCAGACCAAACGCATCGGATCCGCACGGTTGATTGAGGCCAAAGTCACCCTGGGAGTCTAGTCGACGTTTTAAAACGGTCTGACTCGGTGGTCCGAAAAGGAACTTCCTTTACTTGGGTGGTGCCGAAAATAGTTGACCTGGACTTCTAGGGTATATACATCATTGTAAGAGACAAATTCGCTGGCCCAATTGGTTGGTTTGGGTGTCTTGTTGGCACTTCTGTTATTTATTTGGTGGGGAGGGTTCTCTCTATGCTACTGTTTAAGTATCAATACTACAATTAGACATGTTATCATCATCATCATGTGAAGAAACTCTACCACTTGTTCAAAGGCGCAGCGAAACCGTGCCGAGGATGTCCTTCAGGCTGGACATCCGTCATATCGAAGTCTTCCAAACGAAAGCGAACCGCTTTCCAAGCCTTCCCACCGTTTTTCCGGGGCTCGTGGCGCATTTCTCGGCTGAGGCAACAAGGACATGAAGGCAGATCCGGATCTCAAGGACTGTCGTCGCGTAACGCAGGTAGGACTGGACGTACCGACTTTTGGCACTTCAGTTTTGCCGAACCTGAGAAGGGACGACTGGAGGTTTAGGGCCCAGGCGGCCTAGAGTTTGTTTTTTTGTGTTTTGCGTGATGAGTTTGGTTCTAGAAATGGCTTTAGTCACTACGTATAGAACATGGAATGGGAATCCCCAATTCTTAGGAGCACAAGCACAACCATGGAAGTGGATGGCTTGGCTATTCAAGCAGAAGCCCTCTCTAGAACGTTTGTATACGAGTCGAAAACTCGAAGCGTGCCACTTCCATGAGGGCATTATTTGGTACAACTTGTATGCCGCGGATTTGTCCTATTGCCTGTAACAGTCAGTAAACTTTTGGACAAGGCCTGCAACCTAACCGTCCCAACCATCATCCATTCAGGCACCAGACCTCATCACCGTTCTTCCCTGATCAGGCACTTTCTTCATGCCCCGTTCATGAATGGGGCGCGGTCGGTGGTCTTGGTGCGTACCCGGTCGGTACTGTGGACCTGCGCAACTGGAGGACATGGAGGCCCGACTGGCTGCTTTCGAGAAGCGAAGTTGAGAGCTGGGAAGGCTGGAGATGGGAGGGACGGGCAGGCTGTCATACTCACGGGCCGAAAAATACTCATTGCCTGGTAACGTCTGTTTACAGGCTTCAACGGGTTTTAACATCCTTGTTGCTTGAAGTAGAGACCTCGTTTTTCCCAGTTCAGCTTCTGAAACTTGAGTACACAGTCTGTAGCTGTCTTTTTGGTCCTCCTCTCCATTCAATTCGTTAGTTTTATTAAATGTGACTCCCAGCATCTCCAGCCAGACGTGCGCGGAAACGCTGCGGAGTCACTACTGTGGGCGATTTGAGCGGAGTGCAGAACTCACCCCTTTTGAAGCCTCAACTTCTTGTGTGAGTGTGATTCAACATGGGTTGCAGGGTTAAAGCACCCAGCCCATACTAATATGAACAAATCTTCCCCCCACCCAGTTGTGTATGTTGCCCTTTGGCCCAGAAAGTCTTTATGAGGTGGACTAACACCTTGAATTCAAAAGGACAGTCGATAAGACTCTTGGTTGTCCGAGAAGACCACATTCAGAGTCCCAAACAAACGTTTCTTGATTTTGGTGCACCTTGTGATGTGAGATCATGCACCTTCGTGATGTGAGAGCCCTTTGTTGGACATGGGAGTTCAGGGGTTCTGTTGTTTAACACCTCATGGGAGTTCAGGTCACTGATCTTTTGAAGCACATGGGATCTAGTTCCCAGCCCACTTATGAGCAAGCACCTCAGCGTTTTCCCTGCCGTTGGGGCAGAGAAGGACTCTTGGCACCGCGGGGAAAAGCAGCGAGTCTGACAGGACCCGAGATGGACGGGTGAACGAAGAGACTTGGGGAACACCGTCCACTCCGAATAGTGGATGGGGTACACAGACCGAACACCTCACGTGGTGGATGTTTCGTGAAACATCTCACTTCCCTGTTTTGTAAAGGAAGGTCGTTTTAAACCAGGATGGGGCCCATGCAATGGGATGTGCTCGTCAGAGTGTGACTTTGGGGCGATCGGAATGAGTTGAACATAGTTGAACTGTTCCGAGCACCACGGTCGACGAAAGACAAGCCAGCTTGTTCGGCTGCCCATTCGGCTCCAGAAACCCTTAACGAGAATGACCATGTTAAATGTTGTTCAAGAAGGTTTTCCCAGGTGCAATGGAGGCAGGCCAAAGTGGTTTTCAGGGTCAATGGAGGCATGTATTCCATACATGGAGTGTTTGGGGGAGCTGCTTTCTAGCATTTGCTTTTGTCCAAGCGTTTTTTTTGAGGCTATCGATCCTTGGTTTGCAGTATGCCTGAACCCTCCGTCGTAGCAGAACAAAGTGACAGAAAAAAAACTGCACATCATCAAAAAAAGTGTTCATGCCTTGAAAAAGCGTACCACTGGAAAGTCAGATGTAGCTTCATTCCACCTTATGTGGTCTTCAAGTCCATTCCCCTGCCACATGCTGGCACCCATCCCATGCACACACAACACACGCTCACACACTACGAAGCGGCAGCCAGCAACCCCTTTCTTTGATCATCAGTATCAACATAACATATTTACAGTAAGTAAAATAACAATCCGCCACTTTTTAAAATTGCGCCCGGGTTGCGGGAATTTGCGCCCGGGTTGCGGGAATTTGCGCCCAAGTTGCGGGCACCCTTTTTGGAAAAATTGTTGTAAAGCACGCCCAGAAGGTTGGAACCAAACCTTTGTGGTTTCATTTGCACATACTACTAGTAGGAGGTCATATAGGATTTCCACCCGGTCCATAGGGCCCCCAAGGGTTGATAAGGACACTGGTCAGGAACCAGTAGGCTTTAGAATTTACATCACCAAAAAGCGCTCATATGTCCTGAAAAGTTTACATACCCTCAATTAACGCTCAAACTTCCAATAAGTGCTCCAAACCATGGTTCGCCAGAAATAAGTGCTACAAAGGATGCTTCAGGTGCTCATATTTTTTTACCATGTCTATTTGTACTCGTACCCCTTTGGTGGTCAAAGTTGGGGGTATACTGAATTCTTTGAGAGTCTATCCTTACCTGTCCTTAGATTCCTGCTAGGGGTTTAACCTTGAGTGGTTCTTAGTTATATCTAAACCCCAAGCTTAAGCCAAAGCGGCCGACTAGAGGTCTTAGAGCCCACCGAAGGGTGGTCAAAGTTGGGGGTATACAGTCTTTGAGAGTCCTTCATGTCCGACACTGAAATCAGTCTCGCCACTTCCGCAGCCCATTTCCCAGCCGTATTGGTCCTTGCACTCCAACGCTCCGTTGCCGTTGCCCTCTCTTGTTGGCCATGACTGAGATTCGCGGAACAGGCTGGCCAAGTCTGCTACGTACACGTGGGGTCGGTCGTGCTTGTGGCCTGAAGGGTGAGTCTAGTGGGTGTTTGGGATGGGTTTGGAGGGTGTAAGTACCTTCTATAAGAAGGCACTTCTGATCCCTGAAGCCCCTATAGGGCCTACGGCAAAGAAGCCCATGACGAAAGAGGGGGGAAAAGCGCAGGCCGGAAAACGCCCTGCTGCGAGCTGCCAGGCGGAATGATCTCTCAGGCCGAGGAGGGCATGAAGCTCTTCGAAGCTCAGCAGGGCAGCGCTGCTGAGGTCGACACCGCCGGCGCTGAGACGCTCGACCGGCTGCGGCCAGTTCCGTGGGACGCGCATGAAGTCGGCCTGGCAAGGAAATTGCATCACAGGTGATGTGATGCGGATTGATGTGGGGTGATGGTGAGTTGAGAAGAGGTTTGGTCTGGTTGAGTCGAGGGTTTGATACACAGTTGGTGACTTGATTAAGGTGAGTTGTTGTTGGAAAATGCTAGCAGGCATCCATAGAAGTTGTGTTCACTTTGCAGGATCCACACGCCAGAGAGGCCAAGGCCGTTGGGATGATTTGCTGTCACATGTTTTATATACCCCTGTGGCATGTACCGAGTTGCTTCAATGAGATATCCTCAAGGAGGTGGACTAGGACTCCGGTGCTGCTGGTGGGTGTTAGTTGCAACTTCTGCCTGACTCGCCTGGCAGCGTGGAAGCTCTCTTCTTTCACATCCAGCATGGGTGGCATGGGTAGGAGATGAAGAAAAGAAACTGATTGTGGGAACCCTTGCAAGGTGCCATCCGGGTCTCCAGAAGGGCAATTTGCATTGATTTGTTTGGCATTCAGGAAGTATAAGACAGAGGTGGAAGCTCGCCACTCGGCTTGCTGGGAAAAGCCCAGCATATAACTTGTCACCAGAAAGCATCGGCATAGAGTTTTCATATGTTTTTAACTGGATGGAGTTTGGGATTTACAAGTTGAGAAAGATGGGGCTTCGTGGAGAGTTTGAGTGGAGGACAAATTGGTTTGGGCCAGGGCTTTGAACATGTCTCACTTTCTGCTGGGATGGTGACACAGCTTTTTCAAGAGCCAGAGCAGAAGCTCAAACCTGCTGAGCGTTGCACATACAGGGTGTTCGTTTGATCCATTGTACTTGCTGAGAAAGTATTCAAAACATGTTTGGCACGGGTATCAGATCTACAATGTGAGGGGTTGTGTGTGTGTTCCTGGTTTGGACCACTGGTCTCAATCCCAAGGCATTCAAGCCTTGGAAGCGGAAGCGAACCTGCTCACGGGCAAGGAGAAAGTGGGAGGTGACCTCGTGAGTGGTGCAGCTGCAAAGCGTGTAAATTTCTTTGTCCCAGACTTGGTTGAAGGGGAAACCTATAGGAAAACCTATAATTAGTTTTCGGGGGGGACAACGGGGGTTTCCTGCAGATGTTCCCGTAAACCAATTCATTGGGACACTGGAAACCGTTCGAGGTCTGCTCTACACGTTCAATACACCATTCCGCAGAAAAGACCTGACCCACCCAGTGACTCGAGGAGAATAAGAAGGAGCGCGCTGCCAAGGGAAAAGAGGTGGCGGAGCTCAAGGCTGAGCAGCCGCTTGGACGCAGACGCAGGGCCGTTCCGACTCTCGTTTCGTGTTGGCTGCAAAACTGCTCGCAACACCTGGCGTCATCACTTGCACTTCGACCAAATGTCACATGTCACATTTGACATGTGGTCGAATCGCACATGTCACTTTCGCCGGACAATGTCCTGATGACCTCAGGTGTTATGTTGACGCCTGCAAGATCGTGAAAGGCGATGGGAACGACATGGAAAGACGAGACGTGGACATGAACCTTCACTCATGGATCTGTTTGCGGTTCCAGTGAGTATATCCCATATATGTATTAATATATTGGGGTCATGAATCCTTCCAACATCTTCAATTCTGGCGGAATACATACTGAATGCAGAACGCATATTATTTGCATGAATTGCTACCCCACACTTGGTACCTACAATTCAGTTCAGCCGTAAAACTATGCAATCTTCCAGCACGCTGTGTTTACAGGCCACTAGGACCAGGATACTGTGTTTGTCACAGTGGTGGGCTTTGCAACAGTTCTCACTATGAGCTTGGAGGTCCTTGCAACTAAACACAAAACACATTTAATCAATCAAATAGGATGGTTGAACAGTTGAACAAAATGGATGCATTGAAACCAAGCATCACCAAGCGCCCTACCTCCCGAACGGAATAGGATCTCGACAAAGACAATGTCGATTGTGGTCTCATATTCATATATGATCATAAACAAGGTGTTATCCCTGTTCACCTCATGTGATGCCTGGAACAAATTGCGTAAAAACCTTGTCCACAAAACAATCAAAACAAAAACCATTGCCAACTGCAGTTCCGTCAAACAGGAACAATGGCATCACAGAATCAGAACCATGTGAGTGAATCTCAAGGTCCTCATCACCACCAATCACTTTACCATGGTACCGTGCCGCCACCGGTTACAGTATCCTAACAAATGAGCCACCTGTCTCTAAGGCCTGTGGGGCGTCCGTGGGGGTTTCTTCCGCCGACTCGCCTTGTCGAAGGCCTGGAGCCGAAGTTTGGTTACTTCGTGACCAAGCCAGCAGAGGCGCCCAAGCAGGCGGAGAAGGAAGAGGTGGTGGAAGAGGTGAAGGTGGATAAAGCCAAGAAGGACCTTG